CCCCCCAAAAAAAAAGTAGGCATGACTTGATCACCAAAGCTTAAATTAATCGAGTCCAAAATGCCATGAATTATAACTGAATAGTAGTAACTTTTAAGGCCGTTAAGTGTTCCACAATAGTTGAGAGAACGAGTTATTTCTTTATATTTTCTTGGGAAATCCAAACCTCATGAACTAGCTTTAAGGATTGAGTTAGACTCAACCCATCTTCTTCACACGGAATCAAAATGACTCATTCTTATTCTTGGTTTATCCGATGATGACCCCCATGTTATATTTTTTGTCCTGAACGTGCATGAGCCATGAGAGTATTAAGTGCCCCATATTAATTGAGCGAATGAGATGTTGTCTCTTTACATGGCCTTGACCAATCCTGCTTCATGAGCTAGCTTTTGAATCAATTCACCCCTTATTTAAAATTCAAGAGACGGAACAACATAAATGAGCACATTTAATGGCTGAAGTTTATACATTAGTAAGCTATTGACTTTGCACATCCCTTAAGAAATAATAAATAAAGTGCATAATTTACCATGATACCCGTATTAATTGATACATATTTTTAATGGTTTTGAGAAAATGATTTGAAATGAGTAATTAATGTTGTGGGTATAACAGAAAAAAAGAAATTGTCTTCTCTTGATATGCTAAAAGTGACAAGTAAACGTGAAAATCTATTTTTAGAATATTGGACAAGTAAAAGTGAACGGAGGAGAGTAAGACTTTAAAGCTAGTGAATAGTCATCTTATCATATCTACAAGAACATTGTTTAAATGCTTACTAAACATTTATGATATTTTACCAAAAGTTCATTACATAAATAAATTGGATGGCTTGAAAACTGCATAGCATTTCACACCTAGAGCACTGACCTTCAGCAGATAGGGCATGGCATGCTGATAAACACGAGCCATTCCACGATTAATAGGTTCTTTCAGCCCAGAGCAGATTTTCCGCATATATACATTGTATGCTAGCTACAGGAGCTATTCCACAATCAATAAATTGTTCTTAGTTAACCCCTCTCCAGTAATTGGGAGTTCTGGGGATAGATGCCACTCTCCATCTACCAAGAACTTGATTTCGTACCTAACAACACGAAAATATCTTTTAAGTACATATACACTTGATTTTCCTGAAAGGGGTGGAAGGTGTTTGGAGAGAGTGAGAAGGACAGAAATACTCAGTGGCAGAACAGAAACGTACCTTCCCGGTCTTAGAAACAATGTAGTTGAAAAATGCATATAAGATCCATTGTACTCGGGCGATAAGTGCTCTCCTTGACTCCAACCATCAAAGGAACCCATTACTTGTACACTCTAAAGACAATCAAAATTCATGGTTTTAAAGCCTTCTTTAATCGGCCAAAGTGTGTACCCAATGAAAAACATTTAAGGTATAGTAGACAACTCAGTGCCAACTTCTGGATCAGAAGTTCTTTTACATAAAAGGGATCTGGCAGGAACCAAGAACTTGCACAAATCAGAACTTTAATACTCCGGCCAGCGGATTTAGAACTCTATGGACCATTGATTTCAAGTGCTACCTCCATTTTGTTTGTCATTGCTAATCAAAGTATAAATGATGCAGTTGCCGAAATGTCATACAGGGGGGTGTGCCACACATGCACAACCATGTTCTAATAGACTAGTACACATCTGGTGTGGACTCACCCCCATAGGGATAGTACCCTAGCTATCAACTCATTGGGTTGAAATAAATGACCAAAAGCCTTATGCAGAACTTTCCATTTGTTTCACCTAGTGCTCAGTAAGTTTATCAGAGGACTACGGTCATATTTCACAAATGATACCAAATTTCCTCTGCTCCTACAATACATAGGCATTACCTTAAAGTTGATCCCACAAGATATGCCAATAATGCAATGAACTTTCTCGAACTAGCACATATGATACACATTCTCATTTTCAAAGAATGAGAAAAATCTAACTTGTCAACGTGAAACAAAAGATTTAAGAAAATACAGGAATCACCACTCTAAGTAGAGTTGATTCCCACTAGTGACTTAAATTTTCGATTTTCTTAGTCAAGAAATTTCATCCAGTTTGGTGAAAGTTAATCCAATGATTATGAAACAGCATTTGGATCCCCCACCACAAAGAAGCATTAAACCTTTTCTCTGTCTTTCTTGCTTATCATCAGATAGGATCACCTAGATTTTTCAAGCCCTGCTTGAAAGGCTTGGTTTCTTAAAAAATGCTTACAGTTAGACTAAGCGAGAAAAAGGTTATAAGGAATCTGGCCAAATCATGCTAAAAAGTCCAGATGCCACTTAAATCTAAAAGAAAATCCAAAGAGAATACATGACTTATTGTGTTCTCAAGACAAGTAAGCAATCAACAAAGCTTTCCAATTTAACCAAGGTGAAATACTTTAAATGGAAAAGTGAGATGAAGGCTTGGTTTTTTGACGTACTTGGAAACATGATATCTGTTTCAGGTTAAGATAAAAAGATCATAAAAATCACAGATGAGTTACCTTACCTTCTTCGAAAGGAAAGAAAAAAGCACAGACATGGAGCAATCCAAGAAAAACCGGGGGGAAATAATATATTACTCTTTCCAGTTAAATCTAAATGGGCCTAACCGAGATAGTTACACGAACTAACTGAAACAGCTTCAAGGTTTTCAATTTTCACAATGAAAAGGGAATCTTAAGCTAGTGGAGGGTCGCATGTCTGTTACAAGTGTACAGCTTTTAATTGTCTAGGTATCAGCCACCAAATGCATAAAAAACTAGACAAAAATTAAGGAATTCCACAGTTCCAAACTGGTTAGCAGATACAGAAGCAACTTCCTCAAGAACTCACCTCTGCTACCCCAACCCAGGATAAAGGAACCTCTTTGGCTTGTGCAGCTTCCACATCCTTTATTTGCGCCGCCAATTTTTCTTGTATGGCTTCAGAACAGAAAGTATCAAGATGGCGATCATGGAAATGCCAGGTTAAACTCATCCATAAACATCTATCTAAAATCTAACAACGTTTGCACTAGCTGGCATTGAAAAGAGTCTGGATTTCAGTTTAAGGAAGCATACAGTAAGGTAATAATACCTCCCAAACGTGAAAACAGGTGCGACTGGATATATCTTCCCTTAATTTTTCTGGAACCAACTGGGATATCAGATTTAGCGATTTCCTCGGCCAATCTAACCAAAGCCTGCAAGTCAATTGAAATATATTCTACATGTATACTCCGTAAGCTGCTAATGCCGGTTGCTAGAGTTGAAGTCCCACACAAATATTGGATTATCAACCATTTAACTTTTCTCTTCTTGTTTGTCATCTTCAAAGTGTGGAAATTTCTTTTAGCATAAATCAAATTCTAGTTAATTACGGCACAAATCTTCACATCACAAGGGACCATAGGTTTGTTATAACATGTATGCAAATGCACCAAATGCTAACAAGGTACAACTAGATCTGAAGCAATAAAATTACAATAACACCGGTAATAGCAGAAGCAAACCTGAATCTCAAGTTCGATGACTGCAAGTTCACTTTTAAAATTAACCAGCAGATCCTTTTTAACTTGCAACTGCAGTGATATAGCACATTAAGCATAAGAAGAAGAAAAAAATTCAGGTTCCGTGCAAAGCATTTGATTCCAACATTTTTCTGTAGCCTTAACCATTAACTTTACACAACTAAATCTATGAGTTGTATCAAGGAATCTAAGAAACAGATCTCATTAAGACTATACTTCTGCAGAACTAAGAGGCTAACTATATCTTCATCTGATTCTAAGTAACTTAGGCGTTCAATCAAATACTTGCAAATCAGAGGTAGGCTACTACTCTAATCTAACAAGCCAAAATGGAATAGAATGCACTTGGTGAAACCATAAGAAATACCGCATCGGCATTATGAGGACTAGACAAGAATTAACATGAATATGAAAAAGTTTCCCTCTTATTCCTTTTCATGTGAGATGGATTTGGAAGTCGAAAGGGAATGCAAAAATATTTTCCTCTCATGGTTTGTTTTCCTCCTAATACTCATTGCTCACAAGAGGATGAAATATTCTAAATTTACTGTTCTC